CAAAGTTTTGTATAAAATAACGAAACTGTATACTGCGTTTGTCTACAATCGAATTATGGAACGAACCAAAAGAGATATATAATCGCCGTTTTATGGGGAAGAGTACCTTAAACATCATGATTAGATGTGCTTTATTATTATTAAATGCTCCAATCTTATTAAGATTTAATAACGCGGTTTGGAATCATCATTAACGAAATGAACAATAGTTTAACATACCATCATAATCTGACAACTTGTGTCACATCTCAAGCAGTCAGCATCACGGAGAAGAAATGAGTTTTGACAATGCAGACTGCCACAGGACAAATATTTATCATGTCTGTGTTCACCTTATTATATATACTACACTGAAGTTGTTTGTAGGAGCCAGTGGGTATCCATAGTGAGTAGCTTAGGGGATGACGCGACGATTTTCGAAATAAACGATATGGATTATGAGTAAAGCAGTGACATTTCAATACTGTGATGCAGATTCAGCTAGCTAACGTGTCTCAAACGTGACGAAGTGGTACGTGTCATGGATTTCATTGCTGGACACTAACAAACTCGGCTTTTATTTTAGCAACTCGCAAATGATCCACACATAACGTGAAAAAATTGAACACTTTTCAGTCCTAAACACTAACGAGAACATTCGAACACGTAATGCAAATGACATTTTGTCGACTAATTTCTCAAAAATTTATGAGAATAGGACCGATTATTAGCCAAGTTATGTTTAATAATGTGATCAATCATTGACGCAAACACTTCTGTGTGTGTTTCTTTCAAATCTCTCATCTTATTACCAATGCTACGACAGAACTGTTACTAGTTCATCATTCACTTTACTTTTTTTTTCCAATCATACCTGAGTATCAGCTAAACCATTTAAAATTAGTTCAAATCACGAAGGATTGAGGTGCTTTGTTAAATATTGATGCCGCATTTCGACATTTCATTTTAAAACCATGAACAATGTCAATTTCGAATGATATTTCTCATTATTGAGACTTTAACGGAATGGATATTTACAATGGAGTCTTGGCTGATTTCAATGGTCACATAATCATGTGTACACGATAGTGTTAATTGACAAGTGCAATGTTGTAATCTCTTATGAAATTACCCATGTTTGTATTGAATGAAAACAATGAAATAAATACAAAAAATTATATTTTAATATTCTCACAACAAAGTGACATCAGCCATTACATAAACAATCATCAATGTGACATGCGGTTGCATGAAACAATCTTCAATGTATTGGAATGATTAACAGAATAGAAAGTGTGTTTACTAAACTACAAAATGAAAATAACAAAGTGAACTTGATAAAAACAATTGACACGCTGTTTGTGGGGACTATGGATAAACTCTCTTCCTTCTGTGGAACCATAGCCAAATACCACAACCAATGCAAACAATAAGGAAAGATATAACTAATGGTACAACGATATACACGTATTGCGGTGATTTTCTTTCCCCAGTGTCTTCAATTGTATTTGTAGTCATGTTCTGAAATGAACGAAATGGTATAATGATCACAAAAAAATCTCAAATATTTACCAAATGTGATTCAGTGCTTGGATTAGTCTTCTTCAATTCATTTATTAGATCAGTTTCAGTAGTTGCTAGAGTTGTTGTATCTGTGTTCATGTTCTGAAATGAACGAAATGGTATTATGATTACAAAAATATCAAAGATTTACCAAATGTGATTCAGTGCTTGTATTAATCTTCTTCAATTCATTTATTAGATCAGTTTCAGTAGTTGCTAGAGCTGTTGGTTCAGTAGAAACATTGACAATAGGGAATCACTACACATTCTATGAGCTAAAGAATTAACATCTTTCCAGGTATTAGTGTTAAACAACTTTTCTATTCATTGTTGAATGTCCACATGGAAATAAAGCATTGCATTCATATGTGCTTCAATATCGTATAAGTTACTGTGATTTATGCACTTGTGGTACACTAGAATTCTTTACTAATTCGTAACAATATAAATGTTCTTCCGAAAAAAATAAGGATTGCAATATAGAATATTGTAATATTAAGAACAATATTTGAAGTCTACGAATTGCTTACTTGATTCTGGCAACGATTTACTTTGAAGTCATGAACGTCCTTATCACTGCTAGTAATGCATGCATTGGCTTTCTCACACCAAAGACACTTTGTACTTGATGTTGTTGCATCATGACATGCTGCAATCGAATTGTGTATTGGACAATCTTCAGTGAAAAGAAGAAGAAGGTGATTGCATTTCAAGTTATGAAACAAAAGATAAATGAATTACAAAAACAAATGTAACTCTAAATCAATAAGTATTTCATTCTCTGGGCATTTGTCATCACATTGCTCAATCCGAAATTCAATAAACTTTCAATGTCATTCACATTTCCTGAAACACGCTGCATGTTGAACGATGAAATTTGTCAGGCGAATGTCACGGATGTCAATGACCGTTAATATTAGAAAAGAAATGTACACGCTAGACGGTCAACGAAACTCGTTCCTGCTTCATGATTGAAATGTTTCCTGTATGTCATGTTTACATATGCAAAATGGAGAATAACATTGTTATTTCTTTCTAACTGACTATTTAGAAGCCGATGCACGAACGTCAGTTGTACTGAGAGAGAAAATTTATTTTGCATTATGTTCATTCAATCGAACAACAAAGGAAGTGTGACATTGGTTCTCAATTCATTATTGAGATTTTCCTTGAAGAGATTTCCGTCAACCTACTGTGATAGAAAGTTTCAAACTATGTGGCTACATTCTACTCTGTGTGTAATCAGTTAGCATGTTAGACTATTTGATTCATGAAAATTCGTCGACAATGAATAATATTCTAGTCCTCGAATAATGAAGTCAATCTGGACATCAGATTATGGGATGATTCTCTGTGTTATTGAAATATTATTTCAATAGTTTAATACGTGATGAACAAAACAATGTTTGTGGTTATTCTTTGTACGTATTGAGGAGAAAGGAAACGCTTCCATACTGTGCAAACCCTCAGTGTTTTTGATACTGTACAAATATTTACTGACTATGATAAATTGAAATTTGAACACGTGATCTTTCTACTCCTTCAATCTATCGAATGAGTAGGATAAAGTGAAGATTTTGGAAATTAAACTACTGTTTCCAAGGCAATTACTATTTCATGAAATGTTTGTTTAATCTCAATTCCTCGGTGAAATTTGATGTTGCATGTACCAAATGAAAATCAAATAACTGACTGATATCATCTCATCCATCGTCTTGCGACATTTTGTTCAAGTGAATTTCATCAAACTGAATACTTCTATTGTAATTCAAAATGTGTCTTTAATCATTTTAAATATTCAACAGTCAGTCGTTGTTTGGTGTAACGTCAGTTGAGACTGATGGCTTGATATCATTTAATAACTGTCTGAAATCATACATGAAATTTCCAATTTTATGAAATGAAGGTGATGCATTCAAGTGTGAAAATAGTCAACTCTGATTAAATAAGGTTTGACATACCCCCGAGAACTTCATATTCCACTAGTGTTCCATTTGTGATCCATTCAGAAGGAACATCTGCTTGAGGCCCATTCTTACCTAAAGTGATTAATTGAACAGAAGAAGACAGTTGAAATTCAGATTTCCATTTTGAAAATAATATGTTGTCTGTTCTGATCATGTGACACTTGAATGTTACTTCAAGATTTCTAAACACCAAATTGACTTTGAATTTTCAATACACAGTAACATTAGGACAGTGAGTTTGCCTAAAATATTCAGATTCCATTTCACACAATTTTCCTCAGAACTTCAACGACACTTCCATCGCTTTATTGAACAAACCAAAACCAACTGTATATTGTGGACTGTAAGAAACACAAATTCGGTCACCATTATAAATTACAGAAAACTTTCACGTTGACATAGGGATGATCGTGTACAAACAGATGGTAACATCATGCTAACATATGAATAATCATGTAATTCAATGTAAATTAGAAGGTAAACAAAATTTGTTACCGTTTCTTCCACACGAGATATGATAATAAATCCTCGATAGAACAACGTTTCCCTCAAGTCCTCTAGGAATCTGAAAAGAAGTCATGGAAGTCTGAGTCAAGATCTGTCAATACAAAACCATCTATATCAAAATCAACAAAACATTGAAGCAATGTGTCGTCATTCATATTATCTTATTCGAAGACAACTAAATACCCTTACAGTAAGCATACTGATCTCGTCGGCTCCCTAAGAAATATACTCCATCTAATTTACCAAGATATTCTGACTCACCTCAGTTGACAACTTCAATGAAGTAAGGTGAACGATCTATTTATCATGGAATGAGGTTATACATAATAAGATGAACATCTACGTCCGTTGGTAGAAGTGTGTTTGTGAATAACTGCAATGTCGCTGAAGGTGAATTTGTTGTTCTGTTGTGGAATTGTGTTTATGTGCCTACTTATATCAATTGCCGTTCATTTCTCAACAGTATTCATTCCACAATTTGTTCTGATTACCTCCAAACAAACAAGACGGATTGAGTGCAACACTCATAAAATTTATCATCTCACCGGCTATTTCTAGTCATCCAGTATTTATTGTATTGCAAATCGATCAAGTTGTAAATAGTGACATTCGAACAAATAGAATCTGAGAAGCGATCAGGATTTTAACAAAATCTCTCTCTTGAAGTATTCCATTATGAACTTTTCTCACAACTGGTCTATGAATGTCTGAAAATCACCGTTCACGTACGGAATTCTGACAAACACACTTTGTCCTTCATTGGCTCGAAAGTATCAGAATTTCTTAACATATTACATCACTTCCTTGTTGTTCATTATTTTAAAAAGTGCCAGAATAAACTGTGTCATGAACGTATTGTGAATAATTTCATAAGGTCTATATTCACAATACAAAATGTTGGTGTCCTTTTATCCTTTTCAATATATTTCAATGTATTTGACAGTACAGATATGCATGAATAATCTATTCATGTGCTCAACTTACGTTCTCAAAATAGAAATATATCTTCCCATTCGAGTGTATCAGATGCATTGCCTTCAATGTATCATCTGCAAAAAAGAAAACTATCGATATTTAAAATTTCAAGGATTAGTGTCGAGCATGTCATTGCTAGATGTGACATTGTATGTTTCTACACACAAAGGAGGATTAGATTTTAGTGGATATTCACTGTGTTATCTCAAATGTTTTCGTGATGAAAATAATCTCGTGAATGTTGTGTAGATGAAATAAGCATGTATCCTTCATCATGAATGTCAGATGCTTAGTTTGTTTAGTTTTCATATTCAAACAATAAATAATCTAGTTCTTAATAAGATATAATAGTTGGAGTAGTATTCGAATTGGTGGAATATTACTTATATTTCAACTGATACAATTGACTCTAGGTGCAAATGAAATGAGCTGCGGTTTGTTTGTTTGTTTATAATTCGAGTTTTATAATTTATTTAGTTATGTAACACATTGATATATCAGTCGATCAAATGACTTTGTCCACATTATGTGTTAAAGATGAGAATTGAATATGCTTAATACATACTGTTTTAACGATCTTTTAATTTCAAAGAATAAAAGCTGAGAATGATCGCATAATGATTAAATATCCAGATGAATGTGATGTATACAGAAATGATTTTCCGATGAACACATATGTACAGACTTGTCATCCTGTTCCTTTGAAACCTGTCAATGAAGATGAATCTCTGTATTCGTTTATGTATGACCTTATGTATCCAAACGTATGTTAATTATTCTTTAAGGTTCAATAAAATATGTATGGACAATCAATGGATTCTATGTGTATTTAGCCTTTGATTTTTTAGAATGATTACACTGCAATACTTTCGTCACATTTTTAAAGACGAACTCAATTACTCAAACGGAAATAGAAAATAGTTGAGTAATATCATTCAGTGATGATCATGATCTAAGTGTTTATAGTTCACATGTGATCAAACAATCATGGATGTGGATACATACTTTTATTATCAATGTTTTTATGACAAGACCTTCTGACAGCAAAATATTTCTCTGAAATAATGAAAGTAAAATAAATTTGCGTTCATGTATCTGTAAAATGAACAATGACCTCTTTCAATAAAAAAAAGTGTTTGAACACAAGTTATGATGTTCCTTTTCAAGATTGAAGTGAACCAATTCAACTCAATGAGAGTCTCAATGATCTGCATCATTATTTCACCGATATGATGAACGTTTAAATCCAATCAACTAAAATAAATATTATACTTCTGAAATATTGGGCTTGTAAGCGTTTGACTAACTAAACCACCAGTAATATCTGTTCGACAAAAAACATACATAAACATTTTGTGAAATTATGTTATTTCAATTGAACAGTGTTATCTTAACTGAACTCATTTTTGCCCGGAAATGTTACCCCGATGACATCTTGATATTCTAGGTGTTCTAGTTCGAATCAATCATGTTGTACTAGCACATTACTCGTGATTGTTGGTTGATTGGATGGTTGAGGTAGTGCATGAGTTCAAACTTCATGATCAACCGATTATGATTATCAAGAATGTGTTTAATTCCCAACAGTTCAACGTCAGTGAATAAGAGGGACTAAATTTATAAGAACCAAGTAAGTGACATAAAAGATTTGGACGACATCAAATATAAATTATTTATTGTTCATGTGCTTCAATAATTCAAACTGATTTCTCACACAACATCGCTTATTGTTGCGCCTGTGATCAGCCAGATTCTTTCAATCTATCAATAAGTGTTGTATTGATGAAATATCAGTTTTATGATAGTTTAAACAGATTGAAGAGTAGATAATTTCCGCTTAACCAATTATATTGTGTGATTCATTATTGCCACTCAATCAATTTGTGTCTATTTTGAAGTGAATCACTGTTTTATTTAACATTTTCCCTTCACAGTAATGAATACATGTTGTGAACACAGTTTAGGGCATGCGATCACACAAATAAAATAATCACTGTGTACTGACCAGCACTCATGGAATAATCAAGTAAAACATCGAATTAATAATGCAAAATAAAAATGTGTAATGTAAAACATAAAACAAACAAAACTTCACTGAATAATCGTAGAACTCACCCTCATTCAAAATCTCAGTTTCACACACAAAATTGCCGTAGATAGAATTCATAATTACTCTTAAATCACCATGTTGTCCCACAGAAATTTCACCTGGAATGAATTGCATGAACAATAATTAGTTTACTACAGCGGTACAACTTGAACAAGGAAATACATTGGTAGGTGTATTGAATGTGAAACAAAAAATGTCTAAAACTGATCTATTGAATTAATGAAAGCCACTTTGATTCATGGAATTGAAATGGGAGCAAACAAAACTTTAATTCAAGGAAAATAATACTCTTACCGTGAGTATCTATATATACTGAGTTGAGATCAGCACCGTAAAATGTCAAGGGGGATTTCAGTGTTATTTCCTAGAAATATGCAAACATATGGATTATAATCTCCGTTGGAAAATGCCGTTAACTCACCTTCGCATTATCCAATTTTTCAAAATTTTCGCTAACAATTGGAGAGGGCTGATTAGAACGAATGAACTGGGAATAGTGATAATAATGAGACTGAATATTTGTAATGAAACTTGACTGGTCACTTACATATTTATGTGTATCACTTTGGAAAATTACTTTTGCTTGACTAAGTAAACGAGCGTTTTCACAAAATTCATTACAGTCGAAAAATTCCCATGTATGGACAATGAATGAATAAATCGTTACCAACTGACCAAATGAAAACGTAGATCTAAAATGGTTAAAATGAATAGAACAATGTTATCTCATTAGATCAAATTGAAATGGATATAGTACAATCATTTGACTTAAGTATACAATCAATACTCACATCATTTTCTCGTTTAAGACGTTGATAGAACGTGTTGAGTCTTATATAGAATTTTTTGGAAGTTTTTGTACGTTTCTTTCAGATTGGATGATTCAAATTGATCATTAAGATGATGACATTTCATAAATTCATCTCATTATTATTAACCATACGTGCAATAGTCTTACACTTACTGAGGTAGTATAGTCTGATATTGATCCATAATTAATTGAAATTCCTGACCCCCCCGACTATTGATGAAAAATATTTTGGATAGGATTAACACTATTTTAAAATAAGAAATTAGTGCTCATATTTTCATGAACAAACATTGTGTGTTACTTGTAATCAACTATGAATTAGTTGTCAACGATGCATAACTTTCATTTGATTGGTTAATATCAAAGTAGCACAAACTGATTTCATTAGATGACCAAAAATCACATTTTATGTTTAAATTTTATTACAATAAAATGAATTTTTCGTTGGTTGAAATGATGGATCAATTGAAGATAGATCACTATTAAAAACCTAGGAGCACTTGACGGCCGTTAGTCAGCAGTACAAATCCACGAACCCGCCCCCCACGAGATCCGTACTCAGGACCTATCAGTTTCTCGCACGAGTGCCTTAACATTAGATCACTGAGCAGGTCAGCATCTAACGGCGTTCACGTCTAACTGCAACCAATCCACGAAGTTGCGCCACCGTCATCATTGTCTTCAGTGTGTTGATATCTGATAACAGACCTGGTTGAACTCTAATGGTAGCGGCCTCTCACTAGGACTCCATGAGTGTCACTTGAAGTCGGTCACTAGTGAGCAAATGATTATTATCAGAAAGGGTTTCATGCACGCGACACTGATAGGTCCTGGTTTCAAATCTCACAGGGGGGGGAGAGATCGTGGATGTGCACTGCTGAGGAGCCCCTTACTAAGATAAATCGGCCGTCTAGTGCTTCCAGGTTTTCCATGTAGGTTTAAATTCAATTTACTCATGGTTACGATCAGTAGAGTGAATAACAGTCTATACTTTCGTAAATCAATAATCATTTCATTAGAAAAATCCAACCTTATTTATGTTTTGATTACATAGATAAAATGGTGATTCTCGATACCATGAAAGTCAATTGTGCACTACAAAAACATGTTGATAATAACTAAAGAAACATTTCGTTGATTATTTCAACCTGTAATTGACTAAACAATAGTTACATTAATTCGTATCAGTAATATGAAGACTGCAGTAGTAATAGTAGTAGTAGTAGTAGTAGTAGTAGTAGTAGTAGTAGTTGTAGTAGTAGTTGTAGTAGTAGTAGTAGTAGTCTGGTCACACATACACTTGTCAGATCATTTTTATATGAAAATTAGTGAAGGTCAAACACTACCAGTCACAACATTTGTTGCTATCACAGAACGGACGTACAGCAAAAAATCTAGAAAATGTACTCCGCTTTGTAACTTTGCAAGCACACAGAAAAAGGAACGTCAAGACCGCCGGTTATTGACTACTGCAGTCACTGACCACAACCCTCAAGACAGTCGTCTATAATATGTTACAGACATAAGAACCGGCACAAAGTTTTTAGTCGACAATGGGCAGGTGTTGGTGTTGTGCCACCCACTGCACTCGAGTAAAACACACATGACTTAAAACTAAAACTTCAAGCAGGAAACAGGTCTGGCATTAAGACGTACGGCGAAAGGAAGGAACAATTAATTTTTATCCAAAATTTAATTTTTCATGGAATTTCATCATAGCAGACGTCCTCGTTCCTCGTTCTGCAAATCCACACAATATTGGTTGACGTCAGAAATAAGAAAACTTGTCCTTGCCGAACAGAGTAGAGAAATTAGAAGAAATATACCCTCTCCAACTTTTGCACGACTTCACTCATAGCATACCTGACGTGTCGATTTTTTCAAAAATTGATCTCGTGCGCTCTTACCATAACATTCCAATTCATCCGGACGATGTTCTTTAAACAGCCAATAATACCTTCTTTGGACTATACGAATTCGTTCGCATGCCTTTCGGACTGAGGAATGCTGCACAAAGTTTCAGGCGTTTTATTAAATAAGTGGTACGGGGCTTACCGTTTGTATATGTTTACATAGATTACCGACTTATACGAAGCAAAGAGGAAAATGAACATCCAACTCATCTGAAAATGTTTCTTGAGAAGCTACACGAGTATGGGATGGCAGTCAGCTCTGAAAAATGTGAGTTCGGAAAACAATACCTCACGTTTTTAGGTCATGTGCTTGATAATCAAGGCATTAAACCAGTTCCTGAGGAAACACAAGATATCAGAAATTATCCTTTACCTGATTCATTCAAGAAACTACGACGTTTCCTTGGGATGATCAACATTTACAGACGTTTTATCCCCAAATGTGCAGACATAACAAAGCCGCTAACTGATTTCTTAAGGAGAGTAACTGAATCATTGGCAATGACACCACAAGCAATTCAAGCATTTGACCAGTTGAAAAGCGCTTTTAGTACAGAGGCATCACCCGTACGACGAAAGGTTGATGCACCTTTAGTAGTAATGACCGACGCTTCTAATGTAGCAGTAGGTGCCGTACTTCAGCAACGTGTCAATCAACAATGGCAACGCCTTGCATTTTTCTCAAAGAAGCTAAACGCAACGCAAACAAAATATAGCACATTCGGTAGAGGACTGTTGGCTATCTACTTAGCCATAAAACACTTCCGCTATATGTTAGAAGGTAATTCTTTCATGATATATACTAATCACAAACCTCTAACGAAGTCCTCGATGCACAATCATGATAAATGCAGTCCGAACGAAATTCGTCAACTAGAATTCATTTCATAATTTGCAGCTGATATACCCTATATTAAAGGCAATGCAAATCAGGCAGCAGATGCACTATTGAGAATAAATATCAATGCTATCTCGATCCCTGATATAAATTATCAAGAAATGGCAAAGCATCAAAAGCTCTATACGAAGCTGCAAAAACTATTGCAGTCTAAGGTAACGAAATTATTATTTTAAAACATCCCCATAAACAACAAGGACACCTTAACTTGTGATACCTCAACAGGTAAACTCGCCCCTTTGTACCTTACGTTATGAGACGAAACAGTTTTGAGAAATTGCACAATATATCTCATCCAGGTATAAAAGCCACTGTAAAGCTTGTCTAAGATAGATTTGTAAGGTCAAACATAAAGAAAGACGTACGAAAGTGGTCGCGGGGATGCATCCAATACCAAAAGTCAAGAGTACATAGGCACATCATAACCCCTACAGGAAGTTTTCCCGCCGCTAGCGCCAGGTTCGACCGCATTCATATCGACATTGTAGGACCGTTACCAATTTCTACTGGTGACACGCATAAATTAACATGTATAGATAGATTTACGAGATGGCCCTTAGCTGTTCCGTTAAAAGACACGTCAGCATCAACAGTGGTGAAAAAGCTGGTGAAACACTGTATTACAAACTTCGGTGTCCCTACAACAATTACGATCGACCATGGAATGCGATTCGGAAGCAAACTATTTCAGCAACTTACAGATACTTTCTGTATAAAGAGAATTGGAACCAATGCTTATCAAACGCCTGCTAATGGAATGATAGAAAGGTTCCACAGACAGTTAAAACCCTTTTTGAAGGCCGCATGAGGAGATTACAAATGGGATGTCAAGCTTCCTTTGATACCATTAGTCATTCACTCCACCATCAAACAAGACATTGGTTGTTGTGCAGCTAAGTTGGTTTCTGGAACACCGTCACGTTTGCCTGGTGAATTCTTTGACCGTGCAGCAGATATTCCAGCAGATATAACCAACTACGTGCAACAATTAAAACAGCCGATGGAATCCATTAGCTCCGTTAAACCACGAACTGAAAAGGTGAATTCATTCGTACACAATGAATTAGACAAATGGTCACATGCATTCGTCAGAAATGATAGAGTACGACAGCTGTTACAGACTCCTTATGACGGCCCTTTTAAAAGCATCCAAAAGGACACTAAAACGTTTACAGTGAAAAGAGCAGGTAAACATGATACTGTTAGCATCGACAGAGTAAAAACCAGCATTTTTCGAGAACACTGAAAAACAGACAAATGTAAAACCGTCTAAGCCCGTAGCAGAGTAAGCACCATTCAAACTACCTGCAACAAACAATACTTTATATCAAACTTCAGCAGCAACAGAAATCACAACAAGATCAGGAAGAAGAGTACACTAGTCAGATAAGTAGGTAGCAACCACCATATTTATGTAGACCAAATCCTGAGATTGCACTCATAACACAAAAGAAATCCTACTTCATTTGGATTATAATTTTCTTTATTAGCCTCACGGATCAACATTATGCTTACATTTTAACTTTATACAATTCGTTAATGTTAAATATACACTTGTATATACATGATATTAAACGTTTCAACACACAAGCTGTTGTTATTCAAACTTAACTTGTAACACAAATCGGAGGTGAAAAACCTGACAGCAGAACGTTAAGAAGATCGAGTTGAAGAGAATATAAGGGAAAGAAGAGAGTGTAGTCTGGAAGGATCATACAGAATGTGATAAAC